AGGTTGGGGGTCCATACCCTGTCACTCACAGAGCAGGGTCAATCAGGGGGTTGGAGAGCTCCCCCCTGTCACGCACAGAGCAGGGCCGATCAGGGGGTTGAGGAGCTCCCTCCTGTCACTCACAGAGTAGGGCCGATAGGGGAGTTGGGGCTCCGCCCCCTGTCACACACAGAGCAGGGCCGATCAGAGGGTTGGGGCGCCACCACTGTCACACTCGGGGCAGGGCCGATGGAGAGGTTATGGCTCTACCCTGTCACACACAGAGCAGGGCCCGTGGGGGGGGGGGCGGGGGTTGGGGCGCCGCATCCTGTCACACACAGAGCAAGGCCGATCAGGGGGTTGGTGTGCTGCACCCTGTCAAACACAGAGCCGCAGGGCAATCAGGGGATTGGGGAGCTCCCCCCTATCAGGCACAGAGCAGGGCTGATCAGGGGGTTGGGGCGCCTTCCCCTGTCATGAACAGAGCAGGGCAGATAGGGAGGTTGTGGCCCCGCCCCCTGTCACACACACAGCCGCAGGGCGATCAGGGGATTTGGGCGCTGCCCCCTGTCACGCTGATCCCGGTGCTGGGAGGCATATTATCCTTTTACTATATAGGATAGAGGCCTGGTGCATGGGTGGGGGCCGGCTGGTTTTCCCTGAAGGGTGTCCTGGATCAGGGTGGGGGTCCCCACTGGGGTGCCTGGCCAGTCTGGGTGAGGGGCTGAGGGCTGTTTTCTGGAAGCGAGTGACTGAAGCTTCCAACCGCTCCTTGTTTTCTTTTTTTTTTTTTATTCTGGGCCAGCTTTAGCTCTGAGGCCTCGCTGCTGAAAACATCGATACAAAGTTTCGGTCCGCTGGCTTTCAGTCCGGCTGGTTTCTGGTGTTTTGTTTAGCTTCTTATTTGCAACATAGTACACAGTTGCTTAGAGTTGCAACTGTGAGGCCGGCAAGTGAGGCAGGGAACGTTGGAGTCCGCAGCAAGCAAGCCTCCCTGCTCGCTTCAGTGCCTGGCTGCCGGCCGCCATCTTGGCTGACAGTTAATTTGCATATACTCACTGATTAGCCAATGAAAAGGGTAGCGGTCGTACGCTAATTACCATGTTTCTCTTTTATTAGTGTAGATATACATCATGCTTAACATTGTGCCTGGCACACTGTCAGCACTCAGCAAATAATGGCTACTCTCATTTTGCTTCTGTTGCTACCACTGCTGTTATTTCTCTGCATAAATGTTTTTTGTATGGAGTTCATTCTTTTTTCTCCTAAGTGTTTTGATAATAGCCTATCAGTGATGGCGAACCTATGACACGCGTGTCAGAGGTGACACGCAAACTCATTTTTTTGGTTGATTTTTCTTTGTTAAATGGCATTTAAATATATAAAATAAATATCAAAAACATAAATCTTTGTTTTACTATGGTTGCAAATATCAAAAAATTTCTATATGTGACACGGCACCAGAGTTAAGTTAGGGTTTTTCAAAATGCTGACACGCTGAGCTCAAAAGGTTTGCCATCACTGGCCTAGATGGTGTTGAGCAAAAGTAAAGTACTTGGTTCTGCTATTGATTTTTTATTTTATTTTAATCCTCACCCGAGGATATTTTTCCACTGATATTTAGGGTGAGTGGAAGGGAGGGAAAGAAGGAGAGGGAAAGAGAGAGAGAGAGAGAGAGAGAGAGAGAGAGAAAGAGAGACATCAATGTGAGAACACACATTGATTGATTGCCTCTTGCACTCACCCCAATCCCACCCGACTGGGACCAGGAATCAAATCTGCAACCCAGGTACATGACTTTGACCAGGAATCAAATCCATGACCCTTTGATGCATGGGCTGACACTCTAACCACTGAACACCACAGGCCAGGGCTCTGCTATTGATTTGCCATGTGAGCGTGGATAGGTTTTCTTTCTTCTCTAAATCATTTTTTTCTCTTTTCTATAAAAGAGGATTAATAATATCTGAGTCCACATGACTCACCAGGATGTTGTGAAATTTAAATCTAAGGGGGTTTGAGGAACTGTTTTGAAAAGTTGGTAATATTAAATGATATTATCATCAACTCTTCATTCTTAAATTATACAGTTGGGTTCATATCTCAGGTAACACTGTGATTATGAAATCAGCTGTGCCTTCAGCTGTGCCTTACAGGGAAAAAATGGCAAAAGTCTGAGTGCAGTTTTCTGTTAATGAAAGATTTTCCCACTGAGTTGAATCATAATCAAAGTTTTTCACCTCTTAAATCCATTGTAATTGTGTTTTTATGAGAAAACAATGTGATCCTGACAATAATTAAATTTCACAACAAGCCTTTTGAGAAGACATATGCAGCCCTGGCCAGTGTGGCTCAGTTGGTTGAAGCATTGTCTCATACACAAAAGGGTGGCGGGTTTGTTTCCTGGTCAGGGCACATGCCTGGCTTGCAGGTTCAATCCCCAGTCAGGGTGAGGGCAGGGGAGGGGCAGCTAATCAGTGTGTCTCACATCAATGTCTGTCTGTCTGTCTCTCTCTTTCTCTCTCTCTCCCTTCCTTCCTCTCTCCCTCCCTCTCTTTTTTTTCTCCCTCGCTCTCTCCCTTCCATCCTTCCTTCTAAATAAAATAAAAAATAAAAGAAATAAAAAGAAATATTGCATGGGACAATTTGAATTTTTCTACTAAAACAATTCATTCCAGGAAAGAAGTCAACTAATATACTATAAAATGTATTCCCATGAAGTTAGATTTGTGTGGGATGGAAGTAAGTGTGCTTTATAGGCCGACTGGCTTTTCAGATACTATCTACAGAAACAGGAGACTAGATTCTATACAACACGCAAAAGAACCTCTGTATTCCAGAAACTCACCTCAATTTGCCACTTCCAGGAAGTTGCCTCTGACTAACCAGGAACTCTGCTAAATGCATTCTTACTCATTATCATATTAAATTTAATTTCGTTCTCTGTTTCTTCCCAGATTGCTATTACTTCTTTTGTTTCTCTCTTTGGATGCTTGGTAACATGCTGTTATTATTTCTGTTTTGGCGAATGAGTATTTTTAAAACATCAAAGCATTTGGTTGTTTGTTCTTATTTCTTATCTCATAATTGTTTGCCTGTTCAACAAAGGATTTTCACTAAGCCAGTTAGTACTTGATGTGTTTATTTTGTTTCCCTGTCTGAGGAGGAAAATACCCTTCATTTGAACTCTTTAATCTTCCTGAACAGTGAGGTTGCTGTTAACCCGTATAATCGGCACCTATGTAGTTTCCCCTTTTTTCTTTAAGTAGAGCCAAGAATATAGGTCTACTGGGCTACATGGTCTTGAAGCTGCTTGAAGTTTTAGTGAGCTTTGTGGTCTACCTTAGGGCTGAGATTT